GAAAGTAAGTTTCTGGAGTCCCTTATCCTGAGTGCAGACTTACTTTTCTGGGTTGTTCCTTTCCCCTTCCCCTCCCCCTGCCCAGTGCTCATTTTTATCTAACTACCTAACAAAGTGACCAGATGCTTGGGTCGATCTGTAGAATTCTCTTCAACATATAGACTGTGTGTTGTACTGCTGACAAAATATAGGTGAATTGTAAAAGAAACTAAAATATCATGGGCAGGATAGGGTAGTTGATGTGATTTTCCAAAACTGTGACTAGCTCTCCATAAAGCTCCAAAAAAACCAGAGTTCCCTCGATGTACTATTTATGGAGAATTCAGTATCTATATAAAGGATGAAAAAAAATTTAGGGTTCATATGTAAAAGGGAGTCAGCGTTGAGCATAAAACCATTGTTAACAATGATATCACCCATATGAATATCCAGATAAACTACTGAAAGTTGTGCAAAATAGAGAACTAATGGTCCTTGTAAAGGACTGTCCCCTATCTTACAGACACATAGCATCCCTGGCCCCAAACCACTTATGTCAGCAATGCTCTCACCACCCTAATCATTGTTACAAATAAAAAGCTTACCAATAAATCTGTAAAATCCCCTGAGGGAAGCTTACCCATAAATTAGAATAAATTTCAATAATGACTCCTCTACCATAAACCCTAGGCTTAAACGTATTTGCAGCTTAATGTATTTGAATTTATTTTTAAAACAGAGAGAGAATTTATGTTCCGAGTGGTTATTGCCTCCCTCAAAGAGTTGAAGTCATAAAGAGTACTATTCCCAATAATCTTGGGAGACATCAATAGGGACACTTCATAATGATAAGTGTCTAGACTGCAAGATGCTGTAACAACCCTAAATGTCTACTTGGTTAATAAGTAGCCTCAAAATATATATAACAAACAAACCTGAGGGAGAAATAAGCAAATCCACAATTACAGAGAAAGATTTTAAACAAATATTTCTCATTAACTGGTATAATAAGCAGTCCAAAAAGATTGATAGACATACATAAGACTTGGAAAACATGATTTATAAATTTGACCTAATTGCCATACATAAATTACTGCTCCCCAAAGCTTCAGAATATGAATTTTTCAAGTGCATATATGTCATTTATAAACTTGACTTTATACTGTATGTGAAAATAAGTCTCATCATATTCTAAGTGTGAAATCATAGAAAGTATGTTCTCTGACTACAGCAAAATTAAACAAGGAATCAATATGAAAAAAAACTTTTAAAAATCCCCAAATATTTAATGTTTGGAATTTAAGCAATGTACTTCTAAATAATCAGGGATTAAACTAGAAATCAAATGGATACAATATTTGAACTGAATGATAATAAAATACCACACATCAACATGTGAAGGATGCAGGTAGACTCATTCTTAAAAGAAAATGTGTAGCATTAAATGCCAATATTAGAAATGATAAAAGACTGAAAACTAATTATCTAAGTATCAATATCAAGCTGAAAAGCAGTCATTAAATCCAAGAAAATAGAAAGATAGAAATAAAGAGTAGACATCAATGAAATGGGGAAAATACAGTAGAGAAATTAAGCCAAATTTGAGGTTTTTGGCAGACTAATAATATTGACAGACTTTTAGCCAAGCTGATCAAGAAAAGATAAACAAAAAAGAAGACACAAATAACCAATATCAGGAATTAAAAAATGGGACACCAATACTGTTTATCAGATATTAGATAGTTAATAAGATGTTATGAATAATTTTATGCAAATAAATTTGGAAATTGTAGATGAAATTGATAAATTCCTTGGGAAACACAGTTTAACCAAAAAGATAAAAGGAAACAAATTATGAATAGCTCAATATCTGTTAAAGAAATTGAATGACTAACTAAAATTCACCCACAAAGAACGCTTTCCTGCTGATTTTCTCCAAACATTTAAGAAAGAAAGAACACAAATCTTATACAAACTTTTCCAGAAACTAAAAAAAATGGAGCATTTTGCAATTTTGCATTTTTATGAAGACAATGTTACCTCAAAACAAACATCAATAAGGACATTACTAGAAAGGAAATTTATAGACCAGATCCTCTCACGAATACAGTCCCCTGAGTATGACAAAGTCGTCACCATAGTTCAGGTCTTTTCAATGGGATATCCAAATTGTGACCTTTATCTCATGCTACTGTTGGCACAAATAATCAATTAACAACCTGTATGAAGGAATAGAAGAGAGTTTTATTCCAGCCAAGTTGAGGACTATAGCCTGGGAGGCACAGATTCAAGAAGCACTTGAATTGTGTTCCACCTAACTACAGTATGGGGGAGGCTTCTACAGGCAAAACTGCAAAGTTCCATAAGCTGTTTGTCAAGATACAAGATTGGAGCTGACGAGAAGTAAGGACACTTGGTTGGTGTCCAAAATGGTTGCATACTTCAAGGAGAGGCCTAGAGACCACACGGTTGCAGCTGGCAGCTTCTGATAAATATTCTGAAAATGGCTGGTGGTGTCCTTAAGTTTATACAGTTCAGAATATTCAAGTTCTCAGTAATGCAGGAACATGTCTGAAACCACATCCACAATGGCCACCAGGCTCCATTTTGGATGCCTGAACCACAGTTACTCCATTTTATTTTTAAATGATCTTAAATATGTCATCACTAAACACAAAAATCAATTCCAGATGGACAGTTGATATAAATTACAAGATTAAACAAAGTTTCTGGAAGATAATATAAAATATATTTGTGAACTTGGGATAGGCAGATAGTACTTAGTCTATTGCTTAGGGCTTTTGTGTCCTATTCCACAGGACATAAAGATATTCTGTATTATACTGACAACTTGGCCTTTATTAAAATTAAGTCCATAAAAAGACCCCATTAAGAAACTGAGAAGGCAAGCTATACAAATGAGAGAAAAGATCTACAATACATATATCTGACAGGGGTTCATATTCAGATTATGTAAAAAAAAAATCCTTCAAATCAATAAGAAAAAGTCAAACAAGTCAAAGGGGTAAAACTGGAAAAAAAAAAGACGAATAGGCATTTTGCCAAAGAAAGCATTCAAATGGTCAACAATTATATGAAATAGCACTCAACTTCACTGCCATTAGAGAAGCAAATTAAAACAATACTGAGATACCACTATATACACATAAAGAATGGCTAAAATTAACCCCCCCCCAAACCCCACATCTAATGTCAGCAAGAATGTAAAACTAGAACTCATACACTATCAACGGGAACATAAAGGTCGGGGGTAAAATCAACCAGTATTTATTAATACCACACCATCCCTGTGGCTCAGCAACAAAAGCCGTGTACAAGAATGTTCACGGCAACATGATTCACATCAGCCAGACTGGAAACAATCCAAATATCTCTTTACAGTAGACTGGACAATTAAGGTGTAACCATGCAATGGAATGCTATATGAAGTGAAAATAGACAAACCACTGCCACATACACCATTAATGAATCATAGAAACACAATGTGAAGCAAAAGGATCCAGGCATAAAGAGTTATTTTTACTGCAAAAGAGTTCTGAAATCTTTTTCAAAAGGTTTAAAAGCAGACAAATAGTGATCTTTTTTGTGAAGGGATAATGACTGGCAGAGGTACAAGGGAGGGGCTCTCTGGTGGTGATGACGTTCTGTATCTTGAACAAAGTCTGTGTTCAATTTATAGACATTCATTGCACTTATCTGTATATATGTTTTTTAAGTTTACT